TTCTCTTTTATCATGAAAGTAAACAATAAAAGAAAGGATCTACATTTCTCGTGTATCTGAAAATATAATGGATCACAACAAATTAATATACTAAATGAAACTTCACTGCACATATTTGAGAGCTCATCAAGGGATCAAGATGTAGCTTGCTGTTAATATTCTATCCTTGTTAAGACTTACGTCAGGAAATTGCAAAGCCACGGAACTAAATCTAAATAGTAGTAATTTTATGCAAGAAATTAAATTGTTAGTCTGCAACCATCCCGAGTGAATCAAGGAACAAGCTCGACAATAGCCTCTCTCTGACCCAATCATGCTACGTTATGACTGATCTAAAATTACTCACATAATTTAGCTACTTTCATCAAGAAGTCTTAATGATATTACAAATAAGAGGTATGAGCAAGCTGATGTGCTTCACAGAATTAAAAATTACCAAATTGGTAGCACATATGAAGGATAGAATCTCATTCAAAACGGGAATGATCAGGAATGAATTTTATTATCATTCGCTAAAATACGATTTCGAGAATGATAGGCTCACAAATAAATAACAGGAAAAAGAATGAACAGTAAAATGAATGATGCTAAATTAGAAGAAATAAGGCCTTAGGTTAATAATTAAAACCTAATGGATGCTTAGTACTTCAAGAGAATGATGGAGCTTACCGTGCAGCATACTCCGAAAAATGTTTCCCTTGTTGACGTTGTCTCAGAGTATGCAGATCGCCTCCAGGACAATATTCCATGACCAAGCATGAGAATCTGTCCGTTTCAAAATGAGTGTACAGTGTCGGCAAGAATGGATGGTCTAGCAGCTGCAGGATTTCCCTTTCAGTCTGAGCCCTGATCAATTTGTTCCTGCTTGCAAGAGATGCTTTATCCATTACTTTCATCGCAAAAAAGCACCGAGTTCCAGTCAACTCCGAAAGATACACACTTCCAATATCCCCGCAACCAAGTCTTCTGAGCAACTTGAATTGATTCATGCCCAAAATACCATCACGTATTCGAATTGCAAGAATTGCCTTCCATCGAGGATCATTTCCTTTGTGAGGCTTATTTGCACTGCCAGTTATATTACTCCAGTTACTGTCATCACTAAGGCCACTGCTATCACTTGCTCGGCTAAGGCTAGTTTTAGTACTCTCTAGTGAGTCCCCTCGAATGCTCCCTTTCGTACTTACGTAGTTTCTGTCCACACTAAGCATCCCATCACTCATTATCACATCACTCCGGTTTGTGCTAGTGCAGCTATTGACAATGCTCATAGCCTTGAAAACGCCAGTGCTATCAATACTACTGTGGGGGCTAACATTACCACTAGGAGGTAGTGAAGAATCCCATATACATTCGTCTTTCTCCTCAGAATCCATCGGGAGACTTGCTTCAGTAGTATTTTTCAATGGATAAGGGACAGAAAATGGAGAGGAGACCAT